CCTTTTGCCACTGTTTAAATGGAGCATCAGTTGTCAAAACAGATATTGTCTGAAACAAAAAAAATAATTCTAGGCAGGACATTCATTTTTATCACAGAAATTCTCCCCAGCAACGACAGCTGTAGTTTCTCCGATCTTAACATATTTTCTTTAACTTCGTTCCATGTCTTAACATAGTTATTTTGAAATAAGATACAATTCATATTTGTCATTGTGATTCCCAGATACTTTACATTCTTCTTGATCTTAAAACCTGTATTATTCATCAATTCTGTTTGATCTTCCATTTTGATGTTTTTTGTTAACATCTTCATCTTCTGTTTATTGATCTTAAAGCCTGCTAATGCACCAAGTTCTTTTAGTTTTTCCATTAATGTTTCAATTCCCTTTAAAGGATCTTCCAAAACCAACACCGAGTCATCTGCAAAAGCCTTAACATGTTTTTTTTTTTAATCTTTACCCCCACAATTCTCTCATCTTGTCCTATACCTCTGTTCAGAATTTCAAGAATCAAACGAGGGGAGACAGTGGGCATCCCTGTCTTGCTCCTTTTTAAGAAGTCCATCCACTTTGATACTGGGCATCCTCTTTTTCCTTCCATCTTTCCCAATATCAGAACCTTCTTCAGAAAGCTGGGTCTTTGCATAATGTGTCTGAAGCGGGATAATTTGAGCCTGGTTATTTGTGTCTTGGGTGAGAACTCTGGGTTGTTCAGTGATCCATTGTTTTCTTGGTTGTCCACGGTATTCTCCAACATCAAAGTTCAAAAGTGTCAGTACTCTTCCTATCCTGCTTCTTCAAAATCCCACTTTTGCTTCCATAAAGTATCACAGAGGATACCATTGCTTGTACTATTCCGACCTTCGTAGGTACAGACACATTGCAGCATCGGAATATCTTTTCCAAGGCCTTCACGGCTGCTCTACCCAGTGCTAGTCTTCAGAGTGTTTCTTGTGTGCCTTTTCCTTTTCTGTTGATGGTTGATCTTAAAAGGCAGAAGCCATCCACCACTTCAATATCTTCACTGTCAATTTTAAGGTTGGTTATTGTACCTGTTGTCATTAGTTTGGTCTTTATATTTAATTTTAGTCCCATTTTTTCACTGCACTCCTTGACTTTTATTAGTAGACTTTGCAGATCCTTTGAATTTCTGGCTGTTTGAGTGGTGTCATCAGCACAGCGGAGGTTATTGATGTTTCTTCCTCCAATTTTAAATCCACACTCATCTTCTTCCAGTCCAGCTTCCCTTAATATATATTCCGCATATAGGTTGAATAAATAAGGGAAGCGTATATAGCCTTGTACTCCTTTTCCAACCTGAAGCCAATCTGTTTTGCTATGTTCTGTCCATATTGTGGCTTCTTGACTTGTATATAGGTTTTGCATAAGAACAATGAAATATTAATGGATGTCTTAGACACTCCAATTTCCCTAACCCTATTTCTGGTCTCCTTATGGTCTTGAACAACCAAGAGTAAATTTTAACAACTTATAAATAATAATTGTAAGCTTCTTACTTTGTTGAGATTTTGTTAAATATTTTTTAAGGAAAAGGGTTCTGAAGCACAACGGCTACAGGCCCATCTCTAGATACTGAAAGGTGTTCTAACTGGAAATAAAGAGATAAATGAAAGTGGTATCATGCACCAGGGACAGGCTCAAATTTCATGTCTTCCAACTGTTCTTACAGCCGTGTGGAAACTCAGGGAGATAGTGGTGATCCGTATAGATGAGGGGAAACTGCTCCATCAAAGGAACACGCTGCACTCTTTAGCAAATCATGTTGCACCTCTTCAAATAGTAAAGAACATCATCTGCTCCTATTTTTATTAATTCTTTATTTAAATTCATTGGCCGCCCAGCTCCAGCGGACTCTGGGCAGCGTACAAAACTAGAGAAAACATAAAAAACATCTAAAAACACTGAATCACATAGACAGCTCAGTCTAAAATAATCTAATGGACAGCAAAAACAACAGAACAAAACGGGCCATGGAACAAATCACGAACATTGACCTCAGGCCCGGGACCAAAGCTGGGTTTTCAGAGCTTTCTAGAAGCCCAGGAGGGAGGGCACCGTCCTGATCTCTGGGGGGAGGCTGCTCCAAAGGGTGGGGGCCGCAACAGAGAAGGCACAATTTATTTATTTAGCAAATTTATATAGCCACCCATCTCACAAAACTGACTCTGGGCAGCGTACAAACACAACAACAGTTAAAAGCAATATGATGATTTTAAAACACTGAAACATGAATACAAATAAAAATATAAGAAAACCAAAATTGCGGGAGAATAAGAGTTACCTAGCATAGTATAACTACCTTGCAGGCTCCCTGTGGGACCCCCAAGGTTGCTGGCAAAGCCACATTTTAAGGGCCTTCCAGAAGGCTAACATGGATGGGGCTAACCTCGCCTCGGGGAAGCGGGGGAGATGTTCCGGACGGCAGGAGCCACAGCAGAAAAGGCCCGCCGCCTGGATCCCATCCGATGGAACTCCCCAGCAGACGGGCCCCACAACATGCCTCTCCTGCTGAACCTGATGGGGCGGGTAGATGTGATTGGGAAGAGGCGGTCCCTCAGATAACCGGGTCCCATGCCTTTAAAGGTTGAAACCAGCACCTTGAATTGCACCTGGAAGCAGACTGGCAGCCAAGGCAGCTCACGGAGCAGAGGTATAACACGCGCCAACCTAGGGGTGCCCATAACTCTCTGCACAGCCGCACTCTGCATCAACTGAAGCTTCCAGGGGTTCTTCAAGGGCAGCCTCACGTAGAGCGTGTTACAGTAATCCACTGTGGAGGTGGCCAGGGCATGAGTAACTCTGCGTAGAGTCTCATGGTCCAGGAACGGGCGCAACTGGCGCACAGCGCAAAGCCGTGCAAAGGCCCTCCTAGCCACGACTGCCACCTGCTCCTTGAGCGGGGGTCATGAGTCTAGAGGAACTCTGGGGGAGTGCTACTCCATCCAGTACCAAAGGTGGTAAAGTTCCAGTTGGCCCCAAAGCCCACAGCCACTCAGCCTTGCCAGGGTTGAGCTGAAGCCTGTTGTTCCCCATCCGGGCCCCGCAGCCTCCAGGCACCGGGACAGGACATCAACAGCATTGCTTAGTTCACCGGGGAGGGCGTGGGGAGATATATACTGATGCTACCCCACCCATGGCAACGAATGATCCCACCCAGTGGCTTCGTGGAGAGAGTACCGGACCCTGTGGAACCCCACATAGTAGGGGCCGAGGGCAGGGCCTCTCGCCCCCAATCTACGCTGACTGAAACTGGCCAGGGAGGGAGGGAGGGAGGGGGAGAAGCAGGACAATACAGCGCCGCCCACTCCCAACCCACGGAGCCGATCCAGAAGAACGCCACGGTTGACGGCATCGAAGGCCGCCGAGAGGTCAAGGCGACCCAGGACAGATGCGCTCCCCCATCCCGCTCCCGCCAGAGATCCTCCAACATGGCAATGCTGGAATCCTGACTGGAAGGGGCCAGATAACCCGCTTCACCCAGGGCCTGCAGAAGCTGCTGTGCAACCATAAATGTTAAATTTAAATCTTTTATGTTTTCCAGCATAAAGAGTGCTATTTTGAAATCTGAACCCCCTCATTGCTCATTGTCACGATCATAATGGTCAAGTTGGATCTGGCGAGATGTTGCACGTCCTTCCTGTCCGGTAGCTGATACTGAGAGAGGATAAATTCTGTATCCCCAGACAGTGGAGCCCTAAGGCCCTTCATTTTATAGAAGCCATAAATACTGCGTGCTGAATCCAAGATACATACAAGATACAAATAAGATACATCACGATATTAAGCCTGCATGTGGACAATTAAAACCTCCTTGTCTGACAGCGGAAGCTTTCTGGACAAACCAACAAGGGGAGAGTTTCCTCAAAAGAACCTCCAGATTCCTGAAAACGTATTTTAGGAAAATAAAGGAATATCATGGATGGTACAAATTACCTATGGCGAAACATTTGCTTTTAAAGCATTGAATTTATCATAAATAATCCATCTGAATGTAGCCTATTTAGCCAAATCGTTTGCTGTTTTTGAAAGCAGTGTTCAAATTCAATGTGATTGTTTTATTTTCTCTAACATCAGGATTTCCAAAATGATGAGTATCTGTAACTCACTAAAACACACCAAAACAACATTCAAGTCTTCCATTTCTGAATCTGAAGTTGTGATTAGACCATCAGCCCACCATTAATTGCATGTGGAGATTATTCTGTCCCAAGAAATGGTTCCTCTTTCTACTGACACAAGCTAGTTTCTACAGCATGCAGGGTTTCCAGTTGCCTCCACAAGTCTCAAGCTCTGCAGGAGAAACAGCCAGGCCAGGGGGCTGAGCGTGGTCCCAAACTCAGCACTGACTCGGCTAACCAAGTCTGCTTGGCTAACCAGCTTATCCAACAAACCTGTTTCGGGAAGGTGCTGTGAGCAGGAGGACCCGGCTCCCCTGGAACCAGCGACTGATGTCATTTCTCCCCATTGTACCTGCCTCAGCCTGAATGATCTGATGCTGTTCTTGCCCCGTTGCGCTTTCTGGTTATCGCCAGGAAGCAGCAGGATACCTGCAGGGTAAAGATATGGGAGTCGGAAGCCATGCAAAAGGTGCCCTTTTCTTGGAAATTCCTCTGCAATGCAGGAAGAGGATTTTGCTGATGGCACCAGAGAGGGCAGTCAGGAGCCTCCTATCATTTGGGCACAGCTTCAGGACTGATGGCTGATTCCGCTGCTCCCGTGAGCAGATGGGGGAAGGGGGGGTCTTGCCGTTGCGTCAGCACCCCTGAGATGATACCGGGCCTATACGAAGGGGGTTAAGGAGGCGTGAGTCCAAGGCAGCTCTGAGCACTTTCAGGAGCTGATGACCAAATACTGTGCAAAGCAAGCTCTGGTGAGCTAAGGCATTCGCTCTTTAAAATGAGCAAAATTCAAATACATGTTAAGAAAGTCGCATAAACCCTTTACAGCAATGCTTCTCAGTTGGCGGCCACACACTATGAGCACCAGGAGTCCACTGGGGATATGGCAGTGCAAAAATAAACGCTACCACTAAGTCTCAGAAGCTGTCCTGGCAGGGCCCAGGGTAAGTCACCGAAACGTTGATCTTTAAAGCAGACCGTAAATGATTGCATAATAATGATGATAATAATAATGGATTAAATTTATATGCTGCCTGACTCCCACTCTGGGTGGTTTAGAGTTGTTAAAACATTTAAGAAACCAAGAACAACATGGAAAACAGAAAACACGGCACAAGACAGAGAGGCAAGGATGGCAGAGGGGAACGGGAGGGAAGGAAGGGGCGTCGAAGAACCAGGTTTTAAGGCCCTTCGAAATCCCAATATAAGAGAAGGATTCCTGCAAACATACACGTTCTCAGAAAATATGGGCTTCTGGTTTCTAGCAGGGAGGGACTTAAGATACAAAAGGCAAAGAATCACTGCTCAGAGGAAGATTGGAAGGAAGTAAGTCACCCATTAACTTTTTCAAGTGGTTAATGAGATGAAATCACCACTCCACCCACCCTTTGCGACAGTCATGCCGCTTGTGAAACCACCGCAGTTCCTCCAGGATTTCTGCCTAGAAAAAAATTATAATTGCTCCCATTAAGTCAAAATGAGATCACCAGAGAAGTGACTACAATTTGGCTGGGTTCACACTATGCACTTAATCCAATTACTAAATGAAGATATTTTCTGACCGTGCACAGTACAAAGGCTGACATGTGGCCTTGGACAACTCCCTTTGAGACTATCCCAAGGGAAACATTTTGGCTTCTACTTAATAGTGCTTCCATGGATAAGACTGCTCCATTTCACCATCTCTGTCTGAACGCTGGTCAGGCATGGCCAGAAAGGCAATTGGATTAACTCCATCCTTATAATGGAAGAGGCTCAACTGGGCTGTATTTTCACTCCCAGATTTGTTTCTTGTATTAAGATAATTTGGTGGGCTTATCGCCCCCCCCCCCCGGCTTGCATTCTCCAGAAAGGGCAACATTCAGCCTGCCATGGTTGCTGTGCCACCCTTAGAGGCCCAGGGCAGCATTCAGCCAGGTCAGACTAGATGACCTGTGAGATCATTCCTAATTCTTTGATCCTATTATTTTTCCCTAACAAATGTAGGCCTGAAGCATCTTGTGTGTGCATTCTTCTAACAATTCTTGATGGTTAATTTTAGTATGCTGTATCCAGAATAATTTTTTTTCTACAAAAGTGTTTTTGTGCAAAGAGTTCATTACGGCAGCCAATAATGGAAACCCCAGCAAGCTCAACTTTGGGGGATTAATTTTTCAGTCCTCTACCCTGCACACCTGTAGGTCTTAGCACCAGGCCATTATCACTTTTGTTCTTTACTACAGGTGGAGTTTTCCCAGCTACTTTGCAGGTACTGATGCCAAAGTCCTCCCCCAGTTGTTACCCGCTATCCCGTAATAGATCCTGAAGTTCAGCCCAGCCGTTGAACACGTTCTCTAGCTTTTTATAGGGTCTTCTTGATGGGTCCAAATGGGCTCTCTTCTGCCCTCAAGATTCTCTTTTCCTTCCCCTGAACGGAGTGCCTGATCTACAGCTGTGCTCCTCAATCACAACCACTTTTAAGACATGCGGATGCCAACTCCCGGAACTCCCCAGCCAGCACCCGAGCTGCTGCCTTCGCCATGCCTCCTTGAAGCCACCCGCTTGATTTTGCTCCTTACAGGACAGCTACCAAGCAGGGGCCCAGTTTGACCTTTGCTTCAGGAGAGTGATTCCCACTATTATTTACCAGTTTTGGGAAAGCCTGCTCTCCGCTTCTGAAATGCATTAGGAATAAGAAACAGGCCCGCAAATTAAATTGTTTTTCTTTTCTGTATGTTTTGGGCTCAGTCTCTTTATAACTATGGCTTGATTTTCACCTTGTTTCAGTTTGCTTGGAGGGGACCTCTGTGTGCCCTTCCGGACCATCTCTGCTGCCTCCTTCTTCAATTTAGATGCAAAGTAACAAGGATTGTGGAGAAGGGCAGCAAGATAAGCAGCATCTGGATGCAGAAAAAGGGGATGTTTGCTTTTCTTGTCAGATCGGCTTGGCTTGCTGCTGGCTGGAATTTCCCCACAAATTATTTCACCAGGCAAGACGACAACCGAATACTTTCCATTTCTATTCTCTGAGTTCTCTGTTTTTTTCCAAGCAAGAGTCAGATTTAAAGAGATGAAACAGATGTTTTCCCCAACCCAACCCACCACTCCATGAAAGTGGCAGCAGCTGCACCATCTCTTTGCACCTATGAGCCTCTTGAGCATCACAGCCAATGGTGAGCAAGAGATGAGGGGAAGGGTCTCACCCTGCCTCTGTCCCTGCCTTGGCCCACTGTGGGTTAAATGGGTCTCTGTGTTTAAGAGACAAAAGGAACTTCCTGCTTCTCTTCTCTCCACTCTTGAACGTCAGCATTCATTGAGAACTGGCTTGGCTTCTGCATCCAAGATGGTATTATGAGCACTTTTCTTTCTCAACAGGCCACTGCTATTTACTTGGCATTCTTTTCGCACTTTAGCATCCTTTAGCAAGGGGTCCTGCTGAATTCAAATCTCCAACGAAGAATCCTCTAAATAATCCCTATCGGGGCCATCCTGAACCCCTCTGTAAGTACACCACTCTTCTAGGTAGACCGTCCCACTGCGTAACAGCTCTTACCACCAGGAAATTCTTAATATTTACAGAATTACAAAGTTGGAGGGTTCAAATGGATTTGGAAACCATGTTGTCAAATCCAGTACAGGAATTCACTAAAATAGCATCCCCACCAGATGACCATCAGCCTCTGCTCAGCATTCAGCAAAGGAAAGGCTCACGATCTCTTCCACGGTTAATTTTTAAAATGGGATTCAGGGAGGCCTGGGAAACTCTAGTCAAGTTAGGTTAATGTCTATACCAGATAAATGGGTAGAAATGGTAACCAAAGGAAAAGATCATTAAGCACATAGAGGAATGAACTTTTCTGGGAGAAAATCAGCATGGATTCTGCAGAAGAAAATCCTGCTTCGTCAACCTTTGGGATCTGGTGTATGAATGGAGTCGGCCCTCTTGATACTGCATTCTTGGAATGCCATCAAGCCTTTGACAAAGTTCCCCCCACCAGAGGCTCTTGAGAAAGTTTGTCTTGGAATAAGCTTCACTGTGGTTTATGGATTGCTATCTATATAAAGATGACCAAATTAATGACAACACAGAAAGCAACCAGCCTTAGAATTGACAATGAAGACACTGAAGTGGCGGGTGGCTTTTGCTTTTTAGGCTCAACCATCACCAGTAAAGGAGCAAGCAGTCAAGAAATATGCCAGAGACTAGCACTTGGCAGAGCAGCAGATATTCAAATGCCACATGCCTATGCCTACAAAGATCAGAATTGTGCAAGCCATGATGTTTCCTGCAATCCTCTATGGAAGCAGAAATTGGACTTCAAAGAAGATAGGTAAGTATTGACGCTTTCGAACGTTGAGGTTGAAGAAGACTCCCGAGAATACCATGGATAGCCAAGAACATAAAAAAATGGATCTTCCAACAAACCAATCCAGAGTTCTCCCTCAAGACACAAATGATCAAGGTTAAATTATATTTTGGACACATTATGCAAATAACCAGCTTCCATGAAAGGTCCATAATGCTGGGAAAGATGGAAGGGAAAAAAGGACAACCAGCAGATGAACTTGATTACAATGGCAGTGGCTACACCACTGGAAGACATCCTTCAGGTTGGAGTCAAACCATTCTGGAGGTTTATCTTAGGTGGTAAGAAAGAGTCAACACTGACTTGATCACATGTAATCAAAGACATACTGATGGCCAATAGCTTGAATGATTTTAAGAGGGTGTTGGAGAAATTCAATGAAAACAAGTATACAAAAATGGTTTGCCCTTTCTTCCTTCTAGGCATATGGGCTTCCTGCTGGCCCTTCCTTGCTGCCCAGGGTTTTTTTTACTTCCCAGTTTACCTTATAACCCTAGGATTCCTAGTCATTTTTCATCTAAGTATTACCTGGATTTAATCCTTAGCTTTTCCAAGATCAGTTAGATGCTGCCATCTGCTGCTTTTGCCAGGTTGTTGCTTAGAAAAAAGGAGACTGAGGAGATGTGATCAAAGTGTATAAATAGAAAATCATGCATTGCATGCAGAAAGCAGATAGGGAGAACATGGGATCACCCATGTAGCGAAATAAAAAGAAATTTAGGACAGATAAAAGCACTTCTTTACACATCATTACCATAAGGCATGGTGGCCACTGATTTGGATGACTTTAATAGTGGGTTAAATAAATCACAGAGGTCTATCAAGACCAATAATTTGGGAGACTTCAATGTTATCTCCAGGCTGGGGGCAGACTGCTCCCATATACTAGTTGCAGGCCTGGGGAGGGAAGAGGTGATTGCATCTCATGCTTACGTCCCCAGAGGTGTGGGGGGGGGGCTGGGAGGAAAACAACTTTCAGATAGGCTTTGGCTGGATGTAAGGAGTGTGGTGCTTATGTTCCATTCACCGGTTACCAAGAGAGATGAGAAATCTGCTGGATCTCTACTCTCAATTTTCCAGCAAATACTGGGATAACTGAAGACTCTCATTACCACTACAGCCTGCCGTCCCGAGAGTTGATTTAGAAAGGAATTATCTGCATCCTCTGCCTGGGTGAAGGGGGCTACAGTCAGCTCTCACAACAGTATAATTTTGTTTCTAATTCCTTTTAATCTTTCCCAAATGGTCTCAGCAGCACTTCCATATTCAGGCATATTGTTTCTTTACATCCAAAACTCTGTTTTGCAATGTGCTGGGCCTTACTTCTTTAGAACAAGTCATTTTGGCTGAGCTCCACATTTCAATCATGACTCTCATCTCAGCAGATTTCCATGATACCTATGTGTAATTCCTCCTTATCCATACTCTGGCAACTGAAGTAGAGGCTCTCGAAACGATGGATGTTTCTCTTAACTGCTGCATGTTGAGGATTTCAAGAGACCTTTTCCTGCCTCCTCCATTACCGAGTGCAGCCATGTTCTCTGGACCTGTGCCTGGGTCTCTTATCCACTTCCAGATCCGTGTAAAGTCCTCCTGACTCATACAAGCAAGTTTCATGAGACAGAACTCTCTTGCAGATATTTACGTGGGAGCAAACAATGTAGGGCTTCTGCCACGCACACCCTCTCCTGCCATTAAAAAAAAGTCACATCTCCCACTCCCTGCCCCCAGGAACTCAAAACAGAAAGCTGCTTCTTCCCACAAGCAAAAATGAATTCTGGAGACCCACCCCATTTAGAAAGGGAGCTAAAAGGAAAGTTGGCAAGGGAAAAGAAGAGAAACCACTGCAGCGCTAAAGCGCCTGGCCGTTTTCCCTGAGATAGCTTTTTATATCGTTGGCAAAGGATTCCTTGTGAGGAAACTCCATCTGTTTCACACATGACTGCAGGTATAACGGGAAAGATCTGAAACACAGAACAGGGGGTGGGGGGAGGATAAAAGTAATCAGGCGGCTGTGAGGACCAGGGAAGCTCAGCACGCTTGTACCCCGTCTTCTGCTGCGCACGGCCCAAGCCTGAGAGAAGAGAATAAAGCCCTTTCTTCACGGGAGGTGGGGGGGCTCTTCCTTTCAGGATGCAGTCAGAACACGTGACAAAAACTTCTTCATCTCACAACACATAGAATCAACCACAGTTTCAACTGGGAAGCTGTTAACATCTTAGACCAAACTAAATCCAAAAATGCTAGGGAATTCCTGGAAGCTTGGCATTCAGACAAATCAGCCATCAGTAGACACAGAGAGATGACCCCCATTTCCGTACCGCTTAAAAGATACGTTTTGATGTCTAGGAAGGAAACCAACGGCCTAGAAGACACGCTCTCCAGCAGCTGTCACTCGGATAAACGGGAAGCAGCACCAGTTAAACAGGGAACAGGCAGTAAACCCTAATCAAGGAACCACCACCAAACCTGGCAGGGCAAACTGCTGCGTGTGAACAGGCAGCAAACCCCACATTCCCTCACACTGATGATGTTACCAAGCCTGGCCATGAGGCGCCTGCAGGAAAACGAGCAAGCTCAGGGAACACCAAGAACCCAACAGCTCAACCCTAAGCTATAGAGATTCTCTATTAGAATTAAGGCGGGGGGGGGGGTGGCAGCACTAGGACTTTCCAAAGAGGGTCAGGGGTTTAGTGTAGTAGTGGTCAAGGTGCTGGCCTAGGCACCAAGAGACAGTGAGTTCCTGGCCTCCCTTAGGCGTGAAAGCCGGCTGGGTGACTTTGGGCCAGTTGCTCTCTCACAACTCAACCCACCTCACAGGACTGTTGTTGTGGGGGAAAGAGGAGGAGGAAGGAGTATTAGGTACGTTCGCTGTCTTGAGTTGAGTATACGTACGTAGAATAAAAATCTAATAATAAATAAATAAAGCATTTTTTTTCCATTGTTTCCTTGTCTGGGCCACCAGTCCCAACAGCAGAGAATCCTAGCAGAAATGAAGGGTTTGTTCTGCTTAGTCGCAGCCCAGAGCCAGAGCTAGACCAAAACTGGGTGCCATTTAGGTGGGGAGACAGAACATCTGGCTGGGACCTTCACACGTGGTGCTTGCCTACATTTGCCACCAGCAGGGACATCCAGGACAACGCTTAACCCAACGCACAGACCTTCCTGTGTCTTCCTCCATCGGGCCAGCATCTGAGTGGAGCTCTGGCCAGCGTGCAACTACCTCCTGCTTCCGGTCAAGTTTCCAGAGGGTGTGCAGTAAGTACAAGGTAGCTGTGCAGCTGTCTGTAAGACGAAAAGGAAGAGATGTGATCACAACCAACCTGTTTGCTAACAGTCTCACCTCATCCTCACGCCTACCTTGTCTATGGCCTTTTCCACCCTCCCTGTGCAAAAAGGGTCCATATCATCTTGCACTAATCCAAATTCTGGGGCCTTTACCAAGTCCCCCAGCATACGTACTGTACAAATGCCTAATCTGCGTAGTGTGTTCTGCTTGCCCACCCACACCAATATTGGCCAGGCTATGGCTAACATTTCAGTCCAGGAATTTCATGCTGGAGGTACCTGGAGAGATGTGCAAGCTGTACTGAAAATCCATCAAGGCTTCCTTGAACCTCCCCAGCTCCAGAAACCGTATCCCTCTTCCTGTCAAGGCCAGGAGTCTGATTTGGGAGAGCAGCTCTGCTTCGGGTAGGGCCATTTGCTCTTTCTCCTGTTCAGTTCTGCAGCTGCCTGGCAGACAAATAACACAACGATCCTCGCCTATGGACCCCCCAACTATGGGGGGGAACAATCAACCAAAACAAGGCCAATTCTTCAGTTTTGCACGGACAGCTAGCTCCCAAAGGAAGCCACACAACAGCAGAGCTCAGAAACAGGAACATATTGCCCAGGTGAAAAGGGCGGGAAGCAGAACCCTCTCGACTGCCTAGTTAGACCCTTCTTCACTTTGAGGGAGTCCACATCTCCAGCCCTGGATAAGCGGCATCCTACGCCACGTGAGAAGGAACCAGCTGTCCGCTAGTCGGCAATCTGGTAGAACTAGTGTCCCTCGCTGAAAGAAGGGAAGCAAGGAAGAGTCAGGGGACTGTGCTGCGTGCTTTATACAGCCATGAAGGGTGGCTCACAAACAGAAGACATAAATGCATGACCTGCAGGCCGGCCAGTCTGACGCTGATACTGGGGAGGTTCCAAAGAGCAATCTGGAACCCTCATGACAATCAAGTGGTAATTTTCAAAAGTCAGCATGGATTTGTTAGGAATAAATTTTGTCAGACTAACTTCATCGCAGTTCTGATTGTGCAGCCCTTTGATACATTGCGGAAATGCTGTGGGCATAATGGAGCTTGACTTAACAACTGTTTGAGAAAGATCGGTCATCAATAGCTCATCAGATTGGAGAGAGGTATCAAGTGGAGGGTCACAAGGATTGCTCCTGGGTCCTCTACGCTTCAATATTTTAGTAACTTAGATGAAGTAGGGATTTATCAAATTTGCAGCTAACAAAAAATTAGGTGGGATAAGCTAATATCTGGATGACAGAAATAAAACTCAAAACAATCTTACCAGGTTAGAGCAAGATTTCCCAAACTTTATAAACTGGAGATTGTTTTTATCACTACCTTTTTATGGCCTGTTTCTTTGCTACTTTACCTATGTACAAAGAGACAAGCAGACTTTTTAAAAATATGTTAAGGATCAGTTCACCTGATCTGGTTGTAAATTCCAGAGGAAAGCTTTCTTCCTCCTCTCTGACAGGAAACCTAGTGAAATCATGGCTGTAGGGCTTTTTTTGTTTCCTCATTTTTTAAATTTATACAATTATTTATAGACCACCCATTGCCCAAAGGACTCAAACCAGTTTGCAGCACATACAATAAAAATGCAGCAATTAAAAACTATAGACAATGAACTAGTTAAGGCAGCCCAATAGCGTCAGCATCCAAACACTCTGCAGAATAAAAGAGGTTTTTAACTGCCTAAAAATAGGCAGTTGGGGGTGCTCCTTATCTGGAGAGGAAGGTGTTCCAAAGGCAAAGCCAGGCCCCCAGAAGGGGGGTGCGTAATGGAAGGAAGGAACCATTCCACTGATTTCTGCTTTGGTCGGATCCCATCTTGGGTACCAAGTCTGATTCTGGGCATCAACTTTAAGAAGGATCCAGAGAAACTGGAACAGGTTCAGAGAAAGGCAACAAAGCTGAGGGGAGCTGAAATAAACCCCTTGAAGACAGACCGAAGGAGGTGGGCACGCTTAGCCTTGAGAAGATGAGATGGAGGAGGGACATGCCAACACCCTTCAGATACAGCCACCATTCAAACTTAGGATGGTGCTGAAGGAGTGGTAGCTATAACCAGTCCTCGGGGTTCTGGCTGTCGCAGAGTCTCCATGGTCACATGATCACAATTTCCGACGTTCCCTGCTGGCTTCCCGCAAGCAAAGTCAATGGGGAAGCCAGCAGGAAGTTGGAAGTCAGAGTCACATGAGGTCCTCGCTTAATGTCGGCAACTGGGACTGCCATCACTAAGCAGCACAGTCACATGACATCATGCTTTATGCCTGTGTTGCTTAGCGATGGCAATTCTGGTCTTAACTGCCACTGTAAACTGAGGAATACCTATACACGAAAAGGTATCAAACAGGAAAGCCAAGACATTTCCTCCATTTTCCCAGAGTGCCCAACACAGAACGTGAATTTAAGCAACGAGAAGGCAGATTCCAAGTCAGTGGTGGGAAAACCCCTTCCTAACAGCAGTTCAATAATGGAACCAGAGATGGAAGGTTGCCTATTTGGGTGGGCCCAAATGGGAGCTAGGCAGACATCTACCTGGAAGCTTTACTTTGGACTCTTATAATGAGCAGTGTGCGCATGTGTGCATGCATGTGCACTCACGGCCTGGATCACCTAAATCGGCCCCCTTCCAATCCCATGATTCAGATGAACAGAAGACCATTTCCCCTGGAAAGGGCATGTAGGAGCCCAGGAAACCGTGTAAAGGAGGAGGCAGAAACAGGCAATGAAGGTCTCTGTCCATACCTGTGCTGACCAAATGGACTCTCAGGAGATCATTAAGACACCTGTTGGGGAAGGATCAAAGCGCAATCATTTCTGTGCTGCTAGAAGAAGGGACAAAGGAGCAGAAAAACCTATTTTGCTGATGAAGCCCTAAGCTGCTACCCAGGAACGGGCTATGAGCTTCCTTTTGGCGTGGACAGAAAACCAGTGGATTTCTCCCCTCTTCTTTTTAAAATAGAATGTTCTACTTCTCAGAGCTTTCAAAAGGAGGTTAGAGGTTGGAATGAAACCTTCAGTATTCCCCCAGCTCTTAGCCATAAACAACGCGTGCAGAGCCAGCAGAAGCAAATGGAGGAAAGTGTATTCAAAATGTGGAACTTGGAACCTCTGTACGTGCCCTGATCCTTCAAGGCATGTGCCTGGATACTCAGTGTTCCTGACTCCGTGAAATGAGGCTGCTGTACCCAATCAGCCTCTCCCCTCTAGATCTCCCAGTGCAGAAGGGATCACTGACTGCTGGTCCCACATCGGATTCGAGTTCAGTTACCTGCTAAAGCTGCTTATGGCTTCCTTCGTTTCTTCCAGCCTGGCTCTTGCCCAGCCCTGTATCAAATGGGCAGCTGCTCGCCACAGGACACAGCGCAGGCTCTCTCGCTGCTGTTTCAGGATGATAGCAGGAGATTTTGCCAAGGAGGGTCTCTTCACCCCTGTGGCCTTCTCTTCGGAACTCAAGCCCAGCACGATGCGCAGCCTCGCTGGGATCAGTTTGCTTGTTCGGGAGACCACCTCCTCGCACACCATGATGGCTTCTTGGTGCCTGCCCGCCTCCTCCAGAGCAGAGGCCGCTTCCAGAAACACCTCTGGAGTCCTGGGCATGGTCAGCTCGCTACACTGAGACACCTGGAGAGAGGAAAAAGCCCCCCCACAAGTCTACTCAAAATGAGTCCTGCTCCAAGAAGCAGAATTCAGAGGGAGATGAGAACAGAGACAACTGCCTTCTCCTAAATCCGACCTGGTGCCCCACAGCCTGACCGGAAGATGGCAGAGATCACAGCGGAGGCAAAGCCCTTGACCTTCGCTGAGCTGCAGCCTCCCTCCGTTCCACGCTTCTTCAGCCCAGGCAACAAAAGGGCCACCAAGGAAGATTTGGGGAACGGGAAGAAGAGCTCAGCGGAAGCATCCATCTGGAATGTGGCTGTGGGATCATTGGGAAAGGAGCCAAGATGCCTCCCTGCGAATCCACAAGGCAGCTGGGTCTGCATCCTGGGTACCGGGGTGGCCGCCCAGCTCTGAGCAGATACAATCCGGGAGGTGGTGCAGAAGAGGGCAGGCAGCGCTAAGGAGGACCTGAGTGCTTTCAGTTGTGAGAGGAGCACCTCGGGCGATTAGAGGAAAAGAGAAACTGGCTGCAAGACTGTGAAAAGGAACAAGTCAAGGGCGCTCTTCCTCTCTCACACAGTGCTCCAGGTTACCAAACGAGGAGAGTCATTTCAGCAAAAGCAGCCCTGCACCCGACGCCTAAGCAGCAGGATTCATTTCTACCCCTGCGTTTTCTGCCAACAAACTCAGATAGCTTTTCGCTGCCTCTCCCCTTTCCAATCCAGAACCTACGCAACGCACGTCAGGTCTTGCCAGTCCGGGCAAGGGTTCTGTTTAAGAGCACAGGAATCCCCGGGAAGGAGAGTCAAACCCCCCCTTCAATGGGCAACATCTAGGCATGGGGAGTAATATGTGTTGCTTTATTATTTACTTATTACTAGGTGTATTTATATGTAATAATAACGCTGCCTGACCACACTTATCTTTTTTTGGAGACTTCAGAGGTCACGGACACATTTTTTAAATCACCCTACATGCGGGAAAACGTTCAGAAGGAGTCCGATAGCCCTTTTCTGACTAACACGTTTTATTAGAGGGCATCAACTGTGGCTCATGAGAACTTAGGCCTTTTCATAGAACTCGCTAGTCAGAAAAGGCACCGCCCAACTAACATGGCTCTCCTCCTGCAACGCCCACACATGGAAGAGGGGGACAGGATCACCTTGGGCGGTTTCGCTGGAGCGGCATTTTGCTAACCCGTTCAAACTCTATCCCCGTGAGGCATTCAAACAAATAGTCAGAACGAGGAAGGGTCTGTAGAGGAAACAGCTGCAAACCACGCACCTGGGGAAGAGGCCCTTCCTGCGAGAGAGCCAGAAGGTCCAGGTAATGTTCCGCTGCCGCAGCTGCCCTGCAGAAGAGAGACAACCCACCCACAGACGTCACCTCCATGGCTGCAGCGCTTCAGCCCACGGGTCCCTGCTCCTCCCAGGCGTTCGTGGGCTGGGGCCAGTTTCCTCCCATCCGGCCTCCCAGGGCTACTGTTTCTCAGGTCATCTCAGACATGGAAGAAAAAGTTTTCTCTTGAGAAATTGGGGCCAGCCATTCCAGCCCAGCCCAACCTCAGGTGTCTGGGAGGAAGGAGCCGTGCTAAGCAGGAAGCAGGGCACTCACCTCTCCGCCTGCAGACATCTCTGCGCCAGCAGGTATTTCACTCCTGATGGGCAGCTTGGGACGAGGAAAGCAGCCGGACGGCATCCACGGGTAAGGAACTCTGTTCGGATGAGGAAAGGGGGGTCGTGGGACTCGGGGGTTACCCATGGAGGACCATCTAGAGCCTGGGAAGAGAAGAGGTGTGATGAAGGAAAAATGCAGGACTCTGCAGTGAGCTTGGGCCCTGCTCAGGTAAAGCGATATTATACTGCCAAACCCTGGCACGTTCCTACCGCCATTCTTGTTTCATCGATTTTATTATAAGAATGCAACATACGTCACCGGTTCTGGCAGACTCTGGGCACCTTGGAGCGTTAAAATGATAAAACACCCTACTAACGTTTGCGATAGCCTTCTTTGCTCTCCCCAGCCTGACCACGCGCACACCTCAAGCTTTCCGGGAAAGAGAGCAGAGCAGGCGGTTCTCCCCTCCCTGGGGAGAGAAGCCAGAGGGCCCACTGCTGGATCATACAGGCAGCCCAGCCCTCTTTCGACACACCTGATAAAGCAGCAGCAGGGCATCCAGCTCAGCCTCCAAGAGCCCCAGTTGATGGTACAACAGAGCTGCTTGGTACAAGGCTGGGAGGAAGGTGAAGTCCACCTCCAGTGCTCGTTTCAGATGCTGCAGTGCTGTTTGTGGCTTGCCCTGGAGATCCAAAAGATGCACATCAGTCTATTCACAGAGAGGACTACATTGATCTGAGAACTGAAGATCTGCTTCTCAATGCAGAGCACCTACACTACTTGGGTTCAGTAACACATTAGGCTGGGATAAAATGGGCTTGGCAGTCAGTGTCTCAGAATGCTGAATGTTTTGAATGTTTTGAGCTCGAAAGATTTCTGGAGAGATCGCACCGAACTGTTCTGAACTCAGTTGGGCCATAGCCAAGGGTTCCAGGATCTCTGTAGAAACACTCCAAGAACAAGGAACAAACAGGAAGAACTAGAAGCTTTAATGGGGGAAGGCCAGTGCAGTTCAGCTATTTCTTATTGTGGGACCATGCTCACAAGTGGAACACATGGATTGAAGGGCACAACTTATTCGGAAAGAAGAGGTGAGACAAAAGGGCAGGAGGAGGGCACTATGTGGGGAAAGGGCATGTGCGTATTGCGACCCAGGAATTGGACCAGGACATCTGGCCAAGAGCATCTGGCCAAGAATAAAAGGGAGGGGACACAACATGTATTACAAACCACCAATCCAGAAAATGCCCTCTTGGATCAGATCACACAGAGGCGAGACATAGTAATAAAGGGAGATCTGAACCACCCAGACATCTGTTGCAAGGTCCCAATAATTCCTGAGATCTTGTTAGCAGTTTCAATTTCCAGAAGGTTGTTGAAAAGACAAGGGGATCACCATTCCTTGATCTGTCCTTGACTAACAGGGAACATCTGGGTGAAAAGGTAAAAGCAGCGGGAACCCTACATATCTTACAGTTCAGAATTTTTCTTCAGAAAGAGAAACTGGAGCACAGCTACAACGCACGCTAGTTTTCAGGACAGCCAATTTCAACAAGCTCAAAAAAAGTACTGAGATAACATGGAAATAAATCTTGGGTCAAGCAAAATGCAGATGCACTGTGAATTTCTCAAGTACAAGATACTGGAGATACAATCACATACCATTCCAGTTGGAATAAAAAGGGGCTGCACAGCAAACGCTCGAAAGAACTAAGAGTTGACATGTGTAAAGCTGCACTGGCAGGAAGCTAATATCTGCAGAAAGAAAGTCAGAAAGGCTGAAGTGTGAAAGGAACTGAGGCTTGTGAGCGAAGCTAAAAGCAACCAAAAAGGTTCGTGGATATGACAGTAAAAAGGAAAAAAAGAGAAGGGCGGGCAGGCAGGAAGGTTACCGGTGACAGGGAGAGGACAGAGGTCCCCCATCCTTGCTCTGATCTTCTCCCCAAAGGGGAACTGAGTTCAAACGGATCTAACAATTGCCACAACGAGGGACCGGCAGCCCAAGGAAAGAACAAGACGGTTGGAGAGTGCCAGGCTACCGTGAACAGGACTAATTACATTCAAGAGTCCCGAAGGAGCCTGCGTGTGAGGGCATGTGGGAACGGCCTCGGGAGACCTGGTAAGAGGCGGCTCAGTCCGCAGGTGGGGGAAAAGCACGGGAAGCTTTTCAGAAGGGGCCCCCCCAGTCCTGCAAGATTCTGTTTAACGTGACCTTACGATAAAGACAGTGCTGACGCTCCTGGCTGCGCTTCTCGTCTGGACTACCTCGAAGGGCTAATATCATGGATATAATCCTGGAGCCTGAGTGGTGGTATAGAGGCATGGTTCCACACAGCTGGAGGAGGGCAAATATTGCTCCCATTTTCAAAAAGGAAGAAAAGGCGGACCTAGGTAATTACCGACCAGTCAGCTTCATAGCAATCCTGGGCAAAACTCTTGACCGGATTATTAAGCAGCGTGTGAGCATTTAGAAAAGCAAAACATCACTTGACAGCAGCCATTGAAAACACATTGCGTGCCGAACTAAGTTGATGTGTTTTCATAGTGCGACCAGCTGGTGTTGTGGTGGACATACTATGACTTCAGCAAAGCGTTTGATAAAATATCCATGAAATCCTAAAGAAAAAAAGGCAAAGCGTGAAACCATTAGATGCGTAGAGAGCTGGTGGAACAGTTATAGCCAATAAGTGCGTATGAATGGCTCCAGATGAAGGCGGAAGGAGAAGCCAAATGGCATATTTGCAGGGTTTGATTCCAGGCCCTGTACTGTTCAAAATATTTATATCGTTCTCTGTGCGTCTAATAGTTTCACATTTCGCCTTTTGGATATTTTATCAAATGCTTTGGAAGTGGACAACTCAAAGAAACGGGGAGATCGTAAGCTGGTATAATGACAAAAACTAGCAATATGAACTTCAGTGTAGACAAAGTTCTAGACTTGGACAGGATAAAGGCCGTTTACGCCTTGAGTTGAGAGATGCCAGATGGGTCACCAGTCATACAAAAAGGATCTGGTGTCTTGGTGGATGAAAAGCTGAACACAAGCCAACAGAGCGGTACAGCAAATCGATCCTCAGCTTCTCAAGAAGCGTGGGTTTTTTAAAAGTACTTTTTAATCTATTTATTGTTTTTTAACTTTTAACACCCAGAATCACTGGGATAAAAGGAGATGGGTGGCTAATAAATTGAGTAAATAACATAAATAAAACAGCATCAGCGTCAGGAGAAGTTGTTCTCCTCCATTCTATGTGGGTCAGGCTACACCTAGCATACTGCATCCAGTCCTGGGCGCATTTCAAGGAGGACACTGACAAACTGGACCATGTCCAGAAAAGGGCAACAAGATTGTAAGAAGCCTAGAAGGAGAAACTTGCTGCATGAAGATCTCTTGGAAGCACTGGGGTCTGTTTAGCAGGGAGAGACAATAACTGTCTTCGAAGATCTGAAGGGCCGTCATGCAGAAAACAGGCCAAACTTTTTCAGAAGATGGAACAAGAAGCAGTGGCTTTATATTACGAGGGAGCCAATTTGACTGGCCATCAGGAAAATTATTCTAACTGCAAGAGCTGTTCAGCAGTGTCACAGACCACCTTGGAAAATGCTACTTCTGCTGGAAGTACCCTGGATGGACACCTGTCAGGGATGGTGTAGCAATGAATTCTTGCACTGGGCAAGGGGGTTGCTCTAGCTGATCTCCAAGGTCCCTTCCAATCCTTATATATGATGATCCTCTTGTCTAGATTTGTTTTCATTTTACACACATTTCTGTAGAGCACATAATATAACCTTACTATTTTCTGGTTGCAGCTTCCCATTAAGGTAAAGATTTGGGCAAGGACCCGCTTAGAACATAGCCCAGATGCAGCTGCTTGGAGGAAGGTAAGGGCACCATGGAAGTTGTCAGCTTCCAGCTCCTGAACACCTGGAATAGGTAAACAGACGTCAAAGTCTAATTTGATTTAATTTAATGTGCTGTCGTACACTGAGATCTCTGTCTCGCTTAATTCAAAGAGAACTACTCTGCCTCTGAAATCTATGGAAGTGCTACTGGCAAAAGGAATGGTAAGGGCAAAGGTGAAGGTTCAAAGGGCAAAGCCTGCAGAGAAAGGGGGACCTCACACTTGCCTTGCAAGAAGGCAGCTGAAGTCCAGAGAATCTCTTTCAAATCTGTGATGGTTTGTACCACCAAGGGATCAGACTCTCCCATTTCACGTGGATGCCACATCTGTAGCAGTGAAAGGAGCTCACTGTCACAACCAACACAAGGAGACTCTGGGATCTGAAATCAAAAGAGCAAAGAATTCCAAGTCAAGAGTGCCAGGGCAGAGGAAGATTTATCAACCACCCCAAACAGTCCCGCTGAGCTGTGAAGATGGTGAGAGAGGAAGAGAGACAGAGAGCAATGCCCATCACAAATTATGATCAATTAGCTTACTCTGACGAGCGGAACCACAGAAGCATGGAATGAGAGAGGGGCCCCGTTATTTTTCTCGTCCTTCTCGGCATGCCCTCTTACCTGCTGCTCTCTCTGTCCCTTCCTACGGCAGATACTAGGAAAAGGACAGCGTGCTTTTGCCAGAGACCCAAGCTGACTGTTCCTAAGGGCTTTTGCTATGAGGCTAGGAAGGCAAAGGCTGCAGAACCACCACCACCACCACCACGCTTTATCGCCCACGCCCATCGGTGGCAGTGACAGGGAAGGCCACGGGGCATCGGGACTCGGCCCGCCTCGCCCCTCCGCTCAGCTGCCATCCAGGGCCGGCGAGGCCACCCTTCTCGGGAACGCTCCTCCAGCGTAAAGCTCCCACCATCCCGGCCTCCCCGGAGCAAAGGCGGCCCCAGCGAGGGAGGCTTGGGCAGAGGCGGCCCGCGGCCCTCACCTGGGCGTCGGTAAGGAGCCGCCAG